AAGATGCGACTCCGACATGAATTCTTGTCTTTAAAATACTAAAATGAGCAAGAAATCACAGCCTTTAAATGTTCAAGGCATTTTAATGATGGTGAAGGTCAAAGACAAAGTGCAGACTTGTGGAAGGGAGGAGGTGTCAGATACTAACCTATTTCCACTTAAGTAAGCGAACTGAAGCTTAGAATGGGAAGAAGGGGGGAGAATGCAGATGGGTTATTTGGTGCTGCAAGGAGAAGGAGGGACTGCAGTTAACAGTAAGACAAAGGACATTCCCAAGCATTGCTCCACCATTTTATGGTATCTCAGAAAGCACAACGATGCTCCTGCCCTTATAGCAGTAATTAGAGGGAATACAGAAAAGGGCAGTGTAGCTTTTAGAGAAAGCAGCTCTGTGATATGATGGTGCTGGGACCACCAGTTTCTCTTTGATTATCAGCTCCAGCTGGGAGAATGGGGGAAGAGAGGGAAGCAGGTGGCTCCTGAGAGAGTCCACCTGGAAGAAGGCTCTAGAAGGGAAGCTGTGCTGCAGTGCAAGAATTAAGAGGAGCGTAGAAAATGAAAGGCTAATGCTTTTTGGGTTTTGGTTTTGGTGTGGTTTTTTTTTCTTCTATAAAAGAGTAAGAGCCTTAGCTTGTATTGTGATCTTGCAGGTGTTTTTGAGTTAATGATAGAAAGTGTATTTGTGAAAGGTGTTGAAAAAGCCCTGGTTGCTGCATCAAACTCTTCCTGGGTGAGTAAATATTGCACTAGCTCATACTATAGACCGCTAAAGACCACTTTAGCACGTTCTTACTACCTGTTTGGGTAATGCACCTACGTACTCAGTTAAAAGGAGATTTTCAAGGTAAGAGTTTTGTATTCTTTCTGTACAGCATAGCAGACACACCATAACCAGACTTTTCTAGTCTTTTTTACTAAATCACTAATGCCAGTGATCTTGGACTTGTTGTGTGGCTGGGGACCAATATTTTGCAAGTACACGAATTCAGTAATTCTGTTAATTAACTGATGAATTTTTGAGTCTTTTTGCCTTCTAAAATCAAGCAGTGAGATAATATATTGGCAGGAGGGAAAGGGAGAAACTCATTTGCAGAGGCTTGCTAGGCTCAAGATAGATCTCTGCAAAGCTAGGGAAAATAGCTTTCTGTGGCTCTGCTGAGTTCCTGTTTAATTACTTAGGCAGATATGACCTTGCAAAACTTCTAGAATACATGGGACTAGGAGATCTTTTGCGGTAAACAGAGCCCATAATAACTCTGTTCTCTAATCTCTGTTCCTCTAGCTGATACCACACTTTATATTATATAAACTATATATACCCCTGAAGCGCCTAATTGAGAAATGGCTTTGTGAGGGGATAAAACATTTGAGTTGCAGGAAGTAATTACACAGGAACAGCGTTCTTTGTCTTTTTATTGTCACATACAAATATTGTTACCAGAAGACTCATTTCTAATTGTGTGTCCTTTGGGTTGGTGGTTATTATACGTTTGGTCACTAGAAGGAAATGCCTAAGAGTTATAACCAAGTGATGTTATTTATCTGTATTTTTCATACAGTTTAGGAGGTGTGTAACTGTTCATTTGCATTTTTCTTGCACGCACTTGGGCATGCATGTATGAAAGCATCCCCAAGGGACACGGGTGTGTGTGGCACTTCAGGAGAGCCTAACAGAGAGTCTGTATAACTCTGCAAAGTGAATCCACACTGTTTGCAGTGACAAATGCTAAGAACTGAAGGAATGGGAGAAGTAGTGACGTGGTGTAATGCAGTGGATTGTAATGTGTTGAGAAACTGTTTCATTACAAGCCCTGCTCTATATGGTTCTCTTGTTTTTGAAAGCACTGTATAAATAACAAGTATGTTCTTTTATATTGGTTATGCTGATGTTTTAAACTTATGTTGCAGGGGACAGGATGAAGTGAGTTTTGAGGTGCATGGCATTATAAATGTGGACTGGGGGGGGTGTTGGTCTTTTTTTGGGTGGGGTTTGGTTTGTTTTTGGGGTTTTTTTGGTGCTAAATATACCTGTAATATGCAGTTCGGGAAGGAAAGGAGGTGGTCCAAATTGTGCCAGGTGCTTGTTGAACAACATGCAGAGTGTGTGCTAATCCCTTTAGCTATTGGAGCCATCCACACTTCCACATTATCATACCTGTACAGGACAAGCAAAACCTTCCCCTAAATCTCCTTTCTGTGTCAGAAACAGTCTCTTGCCTGCCGTGAAAACACAACCCTTTCGGAGCAGCTGGCCGCAGCCGCCACTTCAAAATGCATGGCAATACTTTGATATCGCTTAAATATCAGCCTCTTAAAAATTGTCTCCCCTTGCTTTTTTTATTTTTTTTTTTTGCCTTTCAAGCAAAGCTGCTCTGCTTTAGAGCAGGCCCACTGGTTCTTAATTGCCTCCTTCCCCAAGTGACTTGGGAGATTGTTCTCTAACTGGCTGTAATTATCCTTTACTGTAAACTAACCAAAGTACACTCTGATTTTGGTGTTATGTTCATTTGTAAGCATCCTGTTTTAAATGTTAATGTATTCTGGGAATGTCCATTCTATAAGAATGGACTGATTTGTGTACCAAATGTTTGTGAAATACCCTGAGGAACAAATCTGTACTGGGTAACTGATTTGAAATGAAAACCACGATGTTAAGGACAGAATATCAATGGATGGTGAAGTTGCAGAGTTGATTTACGTGTGAACATTGTCTAAAAGGGAGGTAAACTTTTTGTTTCCAAAAGAGCGTTCAATGGGAAGGTTGGTTCTGAGCCTGCGCCTGCATAAGATTTCTTCCCGTGTTTGTGGTATGATTTCTTGCTTGAGGTGAAGAGGGGATTTATCCCAGGAGTGGCACTATTGGTGGTTTTGCGATGGAAGTGGGCTGCTAATTTAGCACTGGAGAAATGTGGGAAGAATGAAAGCTTCCCTTCATACCTTGACTCAAACATAATCCACAAAAAGAAGACTCACCACACATTCCTTAAAAAAAAAAAAAAAGTTTTTTAAAAAAACAAATGTCGGAACCCTAACAGACGCTTTCTCTTGTAATTTTCAAGATGTTCAGCAGTGTGGACTGCTGCGTTTTCAGATGGGTAAATGTGTGCAGCATATAAAAGTGATGCTGAATGCTTTTAACAGCTATGCTTCTGCCATCCAGCTCCTACTCAAGCCCCTGGATCTGGAGTTTTCTGCTGTGTCTCCTATAATGAGCAATGAAGCACGGCTGCTCTGCCAACCACAGGTGGAAGGGTTTGCCTAGTAATGTTGTCAATGGCTGGATAATGAAGGAGGTGACTTACATTTTTTTCTGCCAAGTGAGATTATTCCAGTTAAAAGTATGATTTGAATTTCCAAGTGACTCTGTACGGACACTCTTCTTATAGTAATAGGGGCTCTTTAACCAATGTAGAATAATAGACTTCCTTAGTGATCATCAGAAAAAGATGCTCTCAAAAATGTGCAGGCGGAAAGCTATTGCTGCAAAACTTGTTCCACAATTGCCTTTTCAGTTAATTTCCTCTTGTATACAAGCCTTTTCTCAGAGCGTTTTACCATATATTTCCGGAGAGAGAGCACTTGATCGCTGAGCTTGTGCGCAGTGCTCAGATCTCAAGACACCAGGCACTTGGAGTGTCTGGTGCTAGAAATCAGCCCTGATGAGCATTCATACGCCTGGTTTGGCTAATAGAATTACCCGAACTGTTCTGATGTACAAAGTTGTTTTAATTCTATATGAGACTGCTGCTTTTGCTGGGTGCTTCAATACCTCTCCTAATTATCTGGATGAGGAGGCAGACGAATATAAAAGTTGTAGAAATGGAAATAAGAATTAAGAAACAAAATAGAAATCAGTGTTTAAAAACAAAAGGCTTGCTTATTGCTCATGAAAGCATTGCGGTATTTACAGGAAAAAAAACCCAACCCTCTAGAATAAAGGCTTGAGAATGTGATATTGCATGCTTAGGAACTTGCACTAATCTCTGAATATGATGATTCCCACATGTGGAAAATTGCAAGGAAATAACTGTCCTGCAATTGAGTTCTGTCTATTCTTTCCAAGTTGCACATCCCTCTGAAAATTACTCTGAGCAAATCTAATATTATCCCTGGATACTACAGACTATGAAAATTAGAGCCCCCAAAGAATAGTCTGTGGGCTTTTCACCGTATCAGATGGTTATGTCATTTGCTAAAGTGTAGGCTATGCTTCTATCCTGTCACTGGTAACTTTAAATGCTTATCTGCTAGTCTGCTAATGAAAAATTATCCTGCTAACTCTTTTAAGTCAAAATGTGACTGTAACTTTTTCAGGGTTTTTTTCCTTTTGTTTGTTTTTTTTGTTTGTGTTTTTCTCTTATAAGTATAGCAATAGTTATGTGAGATTTAAAAAGGCAACCATTTTCTATTTTTTCTGTTTACTTTTCAGAAATAGTGAAAGAAGGAGTATAGAAAATGCCTCTAAATGGTATTTTATATATATGCCACATACATACATGTGTATGTCTGTCTGCGCATAGGGAGAAACAAATTAATACAGTGTGAGACAGGTTGTTATCTCAAAATTCAGACATCTCAGCAGCAAACTTGCTCCAGAAACAGAGAACTTCTTATTGAGTTTAAAGAAAGATCTCTGTTATGTGAGGTATAAAAAGTCTCCTTTGTTACCCAGGTGCTCTAGGTGAAGCCCTTGAGCAGAACCTATATAAAGAAGAGGTAGCCAGTACATTCACTATAAGCATTCCTGTATGAGGCCATCTCTATATATTATTACACATACATAAGTGCATCTCTGTATGTATGTGGGTAAACAGATTTTTAAAGTAATCCCACGTTATGGTTTCTGTATCTGCTAGCTACTTTTGTGCACTTTCAGCATTTACTAGGAAATGGAGCTTGCCAGTTTTTTCAAGCTTTGTCTCTTTTTTTTTTTTTAAATACCCATTCGCGCATATATATATATATATGCGCAGGATGGTATCCCCCAACTCTTGCCTTACCTTCACATCGTTGATGTTCATCCTCGTTCCCTCCTTCCCAACAAAGATGTCATCTATGTCAACCAGAATGTACCTATCCAAGGACAGCGTGAGCTTCTTCCCCGAGAGGAAAGAGATGGCATCAATAAAGATCAGTTTGTGCAACCAGAAGGTCAGGTTGTTTCCAAAAAGGACTCTTTGAATCCCATCATGAAGCCCCAAGTCTTGGATGACGGTTGCATACAGAGCAGCCTTTGGCAATGCCGCAGGGGGCGGTCTGGAGGTCTGCAGTTCAGTTAAAAGCACAGGTTGATAGGTGGAATGGTTAAACTGGAAAACTGACCAGTCTTCGCCAGGCAGTGGACCCTTCTCAACCCTTGGCGCTTTGGTAATGCGCAGCAAGGGAGACTGAGGGTTCACCACACAGTCTTTGAGGGCTACATTATTGTAAAGATGTAATGGTAATCCTTTCAGTTTTGTACTTGGGACACTGTTCTCATTGGCTTTATGAAAACCAATTATGCTAACACTGTATTCCACACAGTATTTTTCCAGAAGCTCTCTATTCCATGAGTCCATGGATACATACTTTAAAATATTCTCATATATAACAATTGTGTATTTTCCTCTTCCATTGTCTGTGAGAGGGGGAATATCCCCCTTAGCTGGCATGATGACCATGTTGTACTGAAATCTGCTGGACTCGAGGATGGCTATGATGTCTTGCCCCAGTTGGGAGTACTGGCTTTCCACAAACAGGAGGACAGTGGGATCAGTTTTAGACGGATCAATTGGCTTAGCCGTTTTCAGCTCCACAGACCTGTATGGTAGAAGCTTGAGGTCTTCACACTCTGCTTCTCCAGTGGTTTCCACGAGAGCTATTTCCTGCTTGTAGCCGGTATAGAGGTAATAGGCAGAAATGCCGATACTTGCCAAGCAGAAGGTCGCCAGGAGAATGACCAGCGTTCTGAAACTTCTGCGGAGCTTCACGATTAGATTCATCTTTCGCAGGACTTCCAGCTTCTGTTGGACTTGCCGTTTTTTTGCTTCTCTCTTCCTAAAGTGCCATAGGAATGAGGAGATGCGGAGGTGCCGGTTCCCCTCCCAAGACATTCATGTGACCATTGCAATGCATTTATGAAGCTGTCGGGGAGGTTATAAAGCTGTTGGAGCGGGAAGTCAAAGGATCTGGAAAGCTAAATTGAAAGAGGTTTTCTCAGAATGCAGCAGCTGCCAATAATCAATGAAGAGGACTCTTAACATTATCTGCAACAAGAAGTAAAAGAAGAGTAAATAAAATTAAATCCATAAAGCAATTAAAAACACACGTTACTAAAGACCGTGATTGATACTGGTAATCTGAGTTAAGAAGGAAGTTTACGAACAGCTCAAGGAGCACTCAGTGTCACTTGCTTTCTTGATGTATTAAGATAAGCTGCATTAAACAGCTCTCCCATATTCTTAGGGTATAAAGTCTAAACTTAACTTTTTGAGGACATATATCTCTTCATGTATTGGCATTTCTTATCTAAATTGGTTCATTGCTATTGCAATTGTAGGAGGCTGTAGGACAAAGTAAACGTATGTTAAATGTTGGGCTATGTTTTATGTCTAAGTCAAACTACGTAAGTATTTTGAAAGGGGTAACAAATTCTGTGTTGGCCTGTAAAAATAATGAAACCAATGTGAAAGACACGAGAGGCCTTTGAGGAAAGACTTGTAGGACTCTTCTCTCCAGTTTCCATTCTGTATCTGGAGTGATCGGGCATGATAAAGATTGTGCATGGATTTTTCCAAGTGAACGAGTAGACTACTAAAACTGAAGGGTGCAGCTGTGTGTGCCTCTGCCTCCATCGGGGTGAAAGGGAGGTGGTATGTAGCATGAAAAGTACTGCAGCGGAGTTGTTTGGTGTATGCCCTGGGCATGTCACCCCCAGCTAAAGGACCGGGGCTTTGGTCTATCCCTGCCAGGCTGAAGTACGAGCCTGGCCAGCTCTGAAGCTCTTGTGCAAGTCCTGGTGGTTCTACCTAAATTCATGAAAAATTACTATTGGTAACAATCAAACACATGACTTGAAGGCAATTAAAACTTACTAAATAAATAGCCCATGCCACTCTATAGATTTAAATAGGAATTAACATCTTTCTGAATTATTTATATTGTTTACCTATTGGAGCAATATGAGACTGTAAACAAAGGATGATTTTTGAACTACAAGGAAGAAACACTTTCCAGGAGGATACTTATTGGTTGATGCATCCTCCTCCACTAACTCAGATTACACTTTTGAGATTCATTCTGAAAACTGTTCATTCATCTTAAGCTTTACACCTAAAATGGGAAAATGCTTGTAAGAAAGGTATTGAAGAAATTTGCCTAGCAGTGTATTTTATGACTCTGGTATGCAGTTCTAAGGAACCTTTTGACTGTGTCAGTTCAGGATCTTAAAAATAGAAGTGAAAAGTTTTAAATTTTGCTTTAACTGCCTTGTGTACAACTGTCCTAGTCTTAGAGTGCGCTACTGCTTTTGGGAGCTTACTGAGCAATGAACAGTGCCGAAGTAACTATGAATTAATAGGTCTACTTGCCCATGAGAGGGTTTGTTGCTGCTCTCAGTTTAGAGAGAGGGAGTTGTTGCTGAGGCCATTTGTGACTTTGCCAGGTCCAGGTTTTCATCTGCTTTACCCTTCTCAGTGGGAAGCTTGCTAGGAGATTTGTACCCCTGTATTGCGAGCTACTCCATCACTGACCCTGCTGTGTTGTCACACAGCAACTGGCCAAAAGGTGAGCAAGGTGGGTAGTTTATCCACAGATAGAAGTGAACAGAAATGAGAAAAATGTTTTGTATTTAGTAACGTCTTATGTATGAGAGAAGAAATAAAAAAGAAATCACAGCTATCACTAGGAAATTAAAATAATCTTGATCATTATAGGAGTATTTGCCTCCTTTTGGTGCTTTCCATGTTCTGCAGTTCTCTCTGCTTGCTGGGATCTTGCTTCTTGTTAAACCTCCAATTAAGATTTTATCAAAAGATAAAAGTGAAGCATCCTCTGTGAGGCCATGTTCCAGTTTTGGTGACATTGATGAGTCACTCAGCCCGACTCTGAGGGTTTATGGGATCAGGAGAATTGCTCTCCGTGGGAAGGGCAGCCTCGCTGGGTGGGTAATCTGCCCACAAAACAGCTAATTGCAACAAGCCTTAGTTTTGTTAGCGTGAGATAGGCGGGCATGTTGGAAACAATAATTAAAACCCCTTCTTGGACTCTGCATCCTCTGCTTGCTTTCAGCACTAGAGGGCAGTATTTTCTTGCTTTTTAGCAGACGGCACTTGCTCTCACCTCGCCTCACAGACCAGGGTCTCAGAAATCCTCAGGGCAGGTAACGCACCTTAATTAAGACAGTTATGTTTTAAAAATAAATAAAATGCAGGACTTCTGATCTAAGAAGTCTGCCCTAAATCACGCTGAATACTTGCCAAATACCTGTGGCACAAAGGAATAGCATGCAAGGAGACCTAAAATTGCACATTTTTTTCCTCGCTGTTCTGTCCTGCTGGATTTCCCAGGTACTGGGATTGCAAGCTGTCAAAATAATACACTTCACATGCCAGATCTTTGCTGCTGCTATTGCTTGTATTACTAAAATATGAGAAGCCTCTGACTTTATACTACTCAAAATAAAAATACGGTCTTCATCCCAAATTATCTGATCCAACGAACATTTGTAAAATCTCTTCCAGTTAAAATATTAGTAATCAGATTTAATGCAAACTAGTACATGTGTTGGTGTATGCAGATGTTATAACAAGTGCAATTATTCACATTTATTTAAATGTCTAAATATTAGAACTGATAAGGAACTGAAACTTGCATATGGAAACCTGGCATTGGAGCAGATCTTTTTAGTTTGCGCATTGTGTTTGAACTGCTCTGTTGAACTGATTATACTGCTCAGGAAAAAAAAAAAGTGTGAAGTAATTAAAGTTTATGAAAATAAATCAGCTATATTAGCCATTAGTGGGACATTTTCCAAGGCATAATTGGAAGTTAAGTGCCGTTTGTGCCTTTGAAACTCTTCCCCCTTAAAGTTCAACAGCTTTATATTCGCTCAGAAATTCAAATATCTTTGGAGTATTTCTGTGCTATATTAATTTGAAAAACATGAAAATAGGCCATATTTCTTAATTAACATTACAAATGTAATTTCAATGTGGAAGCCAGTGTTTGAGGTCCTGTGTTCCTGTGGTTGCTGGACAGGATTGATTGACTCTTCGGGGGTAAAGCCCAAAGCTGGCTACATCTGATCAGGGAATCGAGGTTACATTCATCCAGAGTTGGTCCTTCAGTAGATCTTCAATCTGGCATTCAGCTGACTTCCTAGACATGGGGTCTTCCCCTGAAAGGGCAGAACTCTGCAATATAACTCCATTGGGATGCCATAGCCCTCTGCAGGAACTGTATTTTTTCTTTAATTCAGGCAGCCAAAGAAAAACAGAAGTTTGAAAATTGCTGCCTCCTTGCTAAATACTACTTCCCACTTCCCCAGAAAAACGTATTTGATTGATGATTAAAGCATACTGATTTTGAAGATGATTGATTGGGAGATTAGGACTCAACTATTTAAAACCAATATCACAATAGTGAAGAGAAACGGCCTCTTATTAATACCACATATTGACATCGCATCAGGAATTAAAGCCGATTCTCTCATGGTCCAGTTCCTATACACAGACCTTCTCACAGGGCTTAGTGATTTAACAAGCATCTTGACCAAATTAGGTGCAACTGACCAGTGGGGAGGGAATACAGACATTGCAGAAAGCAGTTACATATTGCAAAGGTAGCAATTAATTGCTAATGAAGGATAGCTGAAATAATGACGTTATTGCCCGGGTAAATACAGAAAACTCCCTTAAGAGGGAGGGTTGCTGCCTTCCATCAGGAGAAACGGGTGACATGAGCAGTTTGGCTCTGGCAGGAGGACAGCTGCTGCGAGCTCTTCTCCCGCCCTGAGCTCTCCTTGTAGGTAGGCTAAGGATCTTCGATCTAGTTTGCCATCTGGAAAGCTGGGATCTTGATTTTAAGTAAACAGTTGTGTTTAGCCACCTATTAGCTGGATTTAGCTAATAGACTTCCATCTGCAGCAGGTTAGGAGCCTGTAGCTTATTGCAGGGTTGAGTAGAGGAGCAGCATGCTTGTTGATCCCCTGCAATACGGTCACCTCTGGTCGCCTGTCTGTAGCAGCGTGGAACGCTCTACGGGTAATTCCTCTGGAGGCAGGCCAGAGGTTTCCTCTCAGCTGATTCCAGCATAAATCAGAAATCAGAATGTCTTTATTTTCTATATATAAAACTTCCCTTTAGGCTAAAAAAAGTAATGTAAACTCTTTCCTCTTTTCCTTCCTTTCTAAGCCTGTATGACTCCTGCCATTTACTAGCAGCTTGATGATCCATGATACCTACTTGCTACTCCTTACATATGACGGCTCATTCAATACAGAAACAAGCAAACTGATTTGAGTGAAAAATGACTCCTGTTGACCATTAGCAAAAGTTCAGGGTTTCTATTCACTGCAGAGGAAAAAAAACAGCTTTTGTTTTCTCAGAAAAGTTTCCAAGAGACTTTTTTTACTGAGCTCGTGAAACTTGGGTGCTTCTAGAAAGTAACTTTTTTTCTTTTTCAAGCTTAACAGAGGTGCAATTTTTTTGTTGTTGTTGTTTATGAATGTGGCTTTTGCTCATGAGGGGTGTTGATGCCAGCTGCTCATGGCTTACGACAAGGTTTTAGAAAACCCTTTTACCTAGGATAAGGTAACACCTGGTAAAAGCTGTTGCAAGTTTTCGAACTTTGTTCTCTCTCATAATTTTTGAGAGGAGAGGCTGCTCAGTTCTTTCACCTCTTTTGTTTGTTTTTAGTGCATAATCATCTGTGAGTTAAAACACCAATTCTTCAGTGTTTTCAGCAATTTCATCAGTCTATAATGCACATATAATCTTGTGTG